GGGTTGGCAAACGCTGCAGAGAATCGGAGGACTCAGAGGAAATGGCATGTTTGCCCCTTACCAAGCAAACCAAAATCAGCGAATTCTTCCATGGAAAAACAAAGGACACTTTTAATATTCCGACCTCGAACAGTTTCTCGCCATTAGCAGAGATAATAGATAAGGAAATTACACCGAAGGAACCACCCACTAAACAACCCATTAACTCCTTAAACAACTCCACCACGAGACCAAAAGGCCCCAAAAAAGTTCCAACTATGCCCATTCAGGCGGAAGACTGCATCGGAGAACAAGCAAACTATCTCTCTGAATTACTGCTTGAACACTCTACCACGTTAGACCTAGTGGCTAAAACCGTGGACTGTATCTTTAAATATATAAGAGACATCAAAGGCTCCTTAGAGAATATTACATCCTTTGTATCCCCAAAAGTGAATGTCAGCCCTGTAGACGTTTCACCGGAGGATAGGGCTGAACCAACGCCCAGAGTACCTGCCCTATTACGTTTAACCCCGCAGACTGGCTGCAAATCTGAAAACGAACAATCTATGGAAGATTCACACACCATATCTTCCTATAATCTTTCGTTACAAGCCACTAGACTTTGTTTAATTATCCTTCCCTTCAAAGGTCAGGTTGTTAACTGGTCGTCTACACATGTCGCAAGAAGGCATTTGGCTGAGCTTCTGGGCGTAGATCCTCTTTCCATCGATCTGAAATCCGCTGTCCACATTTACAGCAAGCCACACATGCAGAGGATACTGCTCACCTTTGATTCTAAAAAGCTTCCAACTTATATGATGTCCTTACGAAGCTACCTGACTGCTAAATTTCCTCCGCAGTGCTGTGGTCCTCCTTATTGCACTATCACCCCATGTATATAGCTATACACAGCCCCATTGGACTATTTCTTTGCTCTAGATGTGAAGCTTAATGCCTTTCACTCCTTCTGCTTCTTGGGCGCTTGGAATGACCCTTCCATTATCCTTGGCACAACAGAAAGCCGCCATGAGAGCTATTTCTATATCCATTTCTCTATTTCCTTGATTCAATGGAATGGAATGGTTTCAGCACCATTTACTAGGGTGAGTGATACCACGCTACCCCTGGCAGGTTCTTCCAAGCTGGCAATTACACTCACTGGAAGCATTCAATACCTCTTATTTTTAAGCTAATAACTCCGATTCCCCAGTCAAGACTTCAGAAATGAAAACCGAATTGCCTGCAGCCTTCCACTGGCTGCAATTACCCCCTCCCTCTAAAATGGGCTTAAAAGGTTTGCATTTTCACTGACACCCTGTGTTGTGAGGTAAAATGGCTATAAACAAGATACAGAGGAGCCAGTGCTTAGTTATTATGACTGGCTGGATCTATTTGGAGGTGTGGAGCAGGCAAAACTATTGAAAAACATTCTAAACGTGCCCAACAAACACTGCCTGTTGCTTATTTCTTACTAGAACAATGATGGAGGGTATAAGTCCAGGAGAGTGCAGCCCTCTGAGGGATTCTTCTAGCTATGGGGGAGAAGTTTGGTTCAGTTTACATTTAAAGGCAGCTTTCCTTTGCAAAGCAAAACACAGCCACTTTTGAAATCCTCCTTGGAATTTCATAGTTCGATTCTCCAGCCAAGTATTGTGGAGAAAAATGCATATAACTAGGGTAAAGTGTGCATAAAAGTGCACTTATTAGTGAAAAATCACATGTAATAAAAGCATTATATTAAGGAGGAAATGCACGCAAAAATATGTATATTGGGTGAAATTTGCACAAAAATGCTGATGAATTTTCATGAATGCTTAAAAAAGGAAAAGGAAAAATCCCTAATGTAGGCTGTGTGCACACTACTGCTGACTCTGTCTCCAGCATGCTCTCGACATTGGTGTTTGAAGCTGAGAACACATGAAGTTAACCACAATCCATTGGTATCTTGTAGCTTCTTGAGAAATACTCCTTATTTGTGCAAGCATGGGTGCAAAGATGACAAGCCTATAAAGAACTCTTGAAAACTCACTTTTTTTTTAACTTCCTCCAATCATACTCAAAATGCTGGTTCTGTTCCAAACCCAGCTGAGGAGAGTTATCCCATCAGTAGACAAGTTGTGCAAAACTGCTTTGAAGATGTCAGAGTCCAACAGATGTAATGTAATACTGGGAACAATGAATGCTTATGATGTAAAACAGGGGTGGCTAACTTTCTTCAGGGCAATACTTGTGTTGGTACCATGGCTATCCATTTGAGGACCAAAATGTAAAAGTGGGAAATTTTAAAAACCCTGTGTAATGTTTTAAAAGTAAATCAAATGGTTCTGTCTCAGGCAAAAAAGTATGAGTAAGTAAGAACAAACATACTATTCTGACAGAAGACAGGATTAAATTGCCTGAGGAGGTCCAAGAATAATCAGCTGGAGGCTGCACCAAACAATGAATTAATGAGGACAAGGACAATTCATGACAGTGAGTGAACAAGTGATGCTATAATAGTAGTTAGGGGCATTGAATAATCTGTAAGGGACAAAAGAAGAAGGACATGCCTGGACAACCTTAGTATAGGATTTAGAAGAAGAAAATCAGCCTACACAAAATAAGCATATTGTCACTGTTTTCTTATTTTCTTACAAATAATGGGATTGTATGCAACAGCAGTCGTCCTCAGATCAGACCCATTGAAATTAATGAACGCGACTAACTTAGGACCATAGTTTCAATAGGTCTACACTGCTGATGACTAATGTTGGATATAGACCATGGTTTTGAAAGTTTCTGGCATCTAGGCCCTGGTGAACAAGCAAACAGCAAAACAGTCTGTGCCCCTCATTCTAACTCTCAGGCCTGCTTTGGGCTCTGAGCTCATCAATACTGGACTTTCTGATTTCAAAACATTGCATCCCTCTTGAGGAATAAGTGAAATGAATATTCAAGAAGTCAAGGTCAGTTCCAAGAAAGCAGTCCAAGCAGGCAGCGGGGAGGCATTGGGAACAGGCTGGCAGGAAGAGGCCTGGCAAAGCCATGGAGCTAGAAAGCAACATTTAAGGACCAGGGGAGAGGCTGAATTTGCAATTTGTAAGAGGCAATGGAGCCCTGTGCAAACATTCTAATGCACATGTCCTCTATCTGTGTTCAGTGAAGTCATAAACACACACTGCTAGATAACTCTTTTGTTGAATTGCATAAATGTGTTTCGCACCAGAGTTATTTGCAGTGGGTTCATGTTAACTCCTGCCTGACTATGTATTTCACCACATTGTGACTTCGCATCCTGCTGCCTGCTGGATTTGTCCTTCACAAGGCAATGCTTCATTATATGTCCTCCTCCCTATGGATGATCAGCACAATGCTATCATCTGTTTCTTTACTGATGAATACAGTCTTTCAGTTCTGTCCCTTACAGGCTGTGCCCCACCCCCCTTCTCCCATACCCAAATGCACATCTATCTATTAGATTGGGAGAAAAGCTGGTCTGTTATTCCTGTCCCTCCATCACCACCACCACTGAAACCATTATTTGGAGTTATATCCTCTTTATTCGCTGTGGGTCACGGTTTGTGGGAGGGTCATATTAAGCATGCTTTTTGATCATGCAAAATAGGCCTAGACGCTCTGAGTGATCTGAAGGAGGGGAGAGATGTGTTTTAAAAGCAACGAGGCAGAAAGGGTTTCTTGGGAGAGAGAGAGAGATGGAAATGAAATCCGAAGGGATTTTTAAGAGAGAGAGAGAGAGAAAGAGAGAGAGAGAGCGCAGTTCAGCATTACAATACAAACATCTCACATGGCTTTCATCTTCACTTGAACTTGGTGCTCAAACAAGCATCACATCATGAAGAGTTTGCCTTGTTCCACTTGGAGCTTTTCTGCTTATCTCCTTTAGGCAATTTGACGTTCATCCTTGCAATATACACACAGCTTTTTGCATTTGTTTGTGAAACAAAGACAAGGGATTCTTCCTTCAGGTGAGTGCTTTATCAAACAGATAAAGACACACAACCTATATCTATGGGGGGGGAGGCTCTAAGTTAATTTGGCAATCACTTCTGCAAAGAAAGCACATGCATGCCTGCCTTCTAATGGATGGACACAGATGAATCCAGACTAGTGAGCTAGAAGACATTTCATCTGGGGCTCGCCTAGGGACTTTGCAGAGCCCTTGGGCCAATGTCACAAGCTTCCCAGCCAAGTGAAAAGCTCCTGATATTAATGGAAGGATGGAAGCAGTGCTATTTTTCTAGAAACAGAGGTGCTTGAACTCACCACAAATACCTCCCTTGTTCTCTTATAATTGCAATAGCACCCATCTGAGAGGTGCTGGAACTGAGTTCCAGCTGGGGAAAAAAGCCCTGGATGGAAGGACCTCTGAGTTTTGATTCTCCTAGTTTCTCATTTTTCCAATCTTAAATTCGTTTCTCCATATTCTGCAGCAATTTGTGATGTATTGTTTATTTATTTATTTATTTTATATTTTAAAAAAAACCATGGCAGGGGTAGAACACTAAGATCTAACAGTCAGAGCCAGGGTTTGGAAGACGAACAGTTAGAACAGAAAAGCAAAGCTCCTGTGAGCACATTCTGAGCCTAGGAATTTATTTTATGCAGCAGAATTGAACTGAGATCACAGTGCTTTCACATGGAAGTCCATTCCTGCCTAGCTTTCTTCATTGTAACAGCCTGATTTTAGTGAGAAAAGTTGTATTGCTGTTGCTTTTCTTAAACAACTGGGAGTCAGAAAACCTTGCCAACCCCCTGCAAATATTCTAGAGATTTATCATTCCTGTGGCTCTATTGGGGCAGAGCTGCATCAATAGCTGCTTACCAGGGGGCGGGGGGAGGGAGATGGAGGGAATCTGGGCCAGTATCTAACCCTCTAACTTAATAAGAGAAGCTCTGATTCTCTGAGGCCAGAGATCTTACATGGCTTTCTAGCGAAGACAGTGGAAATCTTTGGATTCACAAACTTCCACCTTAAGTCAAAGTGATAAACACTGGGTACTTAGCAACCAGAATCACAGAAGCACTGGATGTTCTGTCTTGGTGGCATTGCTTGCCATTTAAATGTGAAAAATCACATCATTTGTTACATTTTAGGTCCAGAAACGGTTGAAAAATGCTTCTGAGATGAGGCAGACAGGTACGATCATATTTAAACATTTAAATATATCTGACCTGGTGTTGCTTGACATTTGTCTTCCATCACGATCCATGACTTGTTTCTTTCCCCCTATTAATATTGTCAGTTCTTAAAGGTTGGTTTGATTTGACTTTAGTTTTTAAGGAAGCTGAGTCCTGGAAGATTAAGAGATGGGGTTAGAGATACATAACAGTTGTCTGACATCAGAATAAGCTTAGAACTGCCATCAGCTTTAGCACATTAATATAAAATTTAAAAATATTTTGCTCTGATATGTGTTGCAAAATAAATCTAATATCTCACCACAAATTCAAAGTGGAGCTTCTCATACGAATTTTTATGAATACAGTGCTATGTTGCTTATTTATTTAATATGTTCAGTTTGGGGTGGAACCCTTACAAGACAGTTTGCAAGAAAGCAGCAAGAATACTCATTGCAAAGTATTGGAAGACACAAGAACTTCCCACGCTGGAGGAATGGCAGATGAAACTGATGGACTATATGGAACTGGCAGAAATGACTGGTAGAATCCGTGACCAGGGAGAAGAGTCGGTGGAGGAAGATTGGAAGAAATTCAAAGATTATTTACAGAAATACTGCAAAATTAAAGAATGCTAGAGTGATGTTGGATTGAAAATAAGTGGTTTCCAGCTGTACAGGATTTAAAGTTATAGATAGACTAAGATTAAAGATTAGGATTAAAGAAGTTTAAGGAAATGGAAATTTGGTATTTAAGAGGTAAAATTTTAATGCTATATTATATTAAGATTAAAGATTGGGATTAAAAAAAGTGGGAAAGAAATTGCTGGACAAACAATTTGAACTGGAATACAAAAGAGGGAGGTATGAGGAGGTCCAGAAAATAAGTAAATTTAAAAACGGAAATGAAAAGGTGATATTGTTTTTAAATGTTCTGTTTCTTTCTTTTTTTGTTTTTTGTTTTTTGTGCTTGTTTCTTTTTTGGATTATGTATTGTGTATTTGTGTATTTCTTTTTTATGTTTTTCTGTTTAACTTTCTACTGAAACCTTAATAAAAATCATTTAAAAAACAAAAAAAAAACAAGACAGTTTGCAAGAATTAATAACATAATGCACAAAACAATGTAAACTGTAAAAATAGCCAGTAAGCTAGACTACAGGTGTTAGCCCCTAATGGTTCTATTTTCAGAATTTGGAGGGGAGGGAGGGAACTAGGGTATGTCATCAAAGTTAATTGGATTAATTCCAAAGAACAACAGCTAATAGCATTCTGATAGGTTACGAGGGCCTGCCCTCCCATTAGGCAGAGTGAAGCAACCGTCTCAGGTGTCAACTGCTCAGGAGCAGGAACAGCAGCTCTAGATCTTTCTCCTAAGTCCCCAGCCATTCCCTTCTGTTGCCAGATGGCCTTTTCTGGAGGCCCTAACCTGGCCTGGTGCCTCAGGAGTGGTAGGGGATGATATTGCATCACCAGTGTTGAAGTGAGATTCATCTGCCAGTTGAGTTGGCTTCTGGGAGTGGACACCCTCTTTGTCCTTTGCCTCAGGTGGTAAAATGTATTGGATTGACCCTGTAGGTTACACTTGGACAGCATTCTCCAGGTTTAAATAGAAATGATATGTTCATTTAAAAAATGGGATTCTTATCACATGGGGTTCTATCTCCAAGCTCCTTGTGGGTTATTACCATGGTCTAGTAACAGTCTTTTTCAGCCAAACCTTCCTCAGTTGGTTGCTGTGAGATACATTTGGGGGGCTGTCGCGAGTTCCTTGGATGAGATATCAAATGAACGGAAGACATGAACAGAATCAAAGAGATGGGGCTACATTCAGAATGAGTGCAGCAGATTAACATTGGCTCAATTGCCCTACATGGAAATATCTTTACTGCATTGCATCCTTTCTGCATTGTTCCTTGAACATGCGTGTGCACCAATTAGACCATATGTGTTTGGCATCTTGATTCTTTTATCCTTCAGGTATTAAGGAGGAATCATCTCAAGCAACCTGATCAGTCACCAACAGAATAAAGCCTTTTGATTTCCTGACGTTGATGTCTGAGCTTTTAGCATGAAGAAGCTCTTGTCAGCAGCTTCCAGTATCATCTTCCATCCTGAGTTCTCCTGGGAAGGCCTGGAAGAGTCTTGTAACAAACAAACAGCTATGCATCATCACCACCAATTAACTATTATTTTGGCACTAAGTATATTTTGAAAACCAATTGTCTGAGACTGAGTTCTTATTTATTAGAGAAATTATTCACTCGTCCCACAGGATATGTTCCGCTTGCACTTTAGAGAGATTTATGGCTCTATAGTTTTCTTTCCCCCCATTTTAAGGAAGCATTTAAATATTTAAGAGATTCTGCTAATGTGTAAAATGACAATTAGACTTAATGACCAAGCAGCAAATCTGATTGACGCCCCAGATATGATCTGCTGCATACAAAGAACTCCTGTTCTTGCAGACCTCCCCTATTCATTTCAACAGAGGGGCAGATTTACATACACACTAATATTAAACAGGCACAAATGCAGTGCTTTTTTCTGGGGGGATGCAGGGGGACGCATAGCCCTAAACTGACAGTGAATTGTCAATTCCGTTGCTACCCCCGATGGCGGCCTCATTTCCTGTCACTGTGTTTCCTGAGTCTCAGACGGAAGCGAGCATTTAATGTGTAAAGTAGGAGTTGAAATCTAGCACGCTGATTGGTCAGTTTCATTGTTACCACCTCCGATGGCGGCTTCCTTTCCTTTCCTGGTATTTCCTGAGTCTCAGACGGAAGAGAGCATTTAATGTGTGAAGCAGTGTGGAATGTGGATGTGTGGTGTTTTACTATCGAAAGTTTGGCCTCATTGAGGGGCAGTATTTCAAGCAGAGGAACTGGTAAGATGTTAGTGCACACAACCTCATGCCAATGTGGAAGTTCCTTTGAGCTGGCAGCTGTGTAATATGAGGTAATGCGTGTTCTTTGTACTTTTGTCTGTTTACTGTATTTATTTCCCCCGATTTGAACTATAAAACGGTGGTTTTCTTGAGTCAAAATGAGAGTACCCCTAGGCATTTCTTTTTTAAGAAAAAAGCACTGCACAAATGCAAATGGAATCGTTATAGGTTCATACAACTATGTGCCATGTTCAGAAAAGAAGAAGAAGCAGTTCTCTAACTTTTTTCAATAAGCCAAAGGAATCAGGACACAAAGCACTATGTAGTGGTGGAGGAAGAGGAGTGCGGGGGGAGCGCACCGCCCCCGGCAGCGCGGTCCCAGTGGGGTGCCATCATGGCTGTGCCACCCACCTGCGCTGGGCGCCATGCCCCTGCAGATGGCATACCATGCCCCCAGGATGCGTGCCACTCCCCTGCAGGTGGCGCGCCAGCCCCGCCCCTGCCTGCTGTCCACCCCTGGGTGCTGGAGCATGAAGCTCCGCCACTGGCACTATGGAGCATATGGCTATAAGAATTAATATGTATTAAAGTAGACGGAGGGAACGGATATGTGTAATTTCATAGTTCCATCCGTGGATTGTGTAGACTGTTCAGCAACTATCTGCAGTAATCAGCACTCGCTACTGCTACAATAGTGCGTGAGAGTCTTCAATCTTTTCCAGTAGTGCTCATGTGCCTGTAGATGTCCTCTTTTCTTCTCACAAACATTGGAAGCTGCCTTATACCACAACAACCACTGATTTGCCTAGCTTAGTATTGTCTGCATTCATTGAATGCCACTAGCCAGGTTTACTTTCAGAAAGGGGTCTTTCACAGCCAAATGTGGAGATGCCAGGATTGAACCAGGCAAGGGCTGAACCTAGGAACAAATATGTTGTTGTTGTTTAGTCGTTTAGTCGTGTCCGACTCTTCGTGACCCCATGAACCAGAGCACGCCAGGCACTTCTGTCTTCCACTGCCTCCCACAGTTTGGTCAGACTCATGCTGGTAGCTTCGAGAACACTCTCCAACCATCTCGTCCTCTGTCGTCCCCTTCTCCTTGTGCCCTCAATCTTTCCCAACATCAGGGTCTTTCCCAGGGAGCCTTCTCTTCTCATGAGGTGGCCAAATATTGGAGCCTCAGCTTCACAATCTGTCCTTCCAATGAGCACTCAGGGCTGATTTCCTTAAGAATGGATAGGTTTGATCTTCTTGCAGTCCATGGAACTCTCAAGAGTCTCCTCCAGCACCAAGGAACAAATATATTGGGGCCAAAATAAGTTACAATAAAAGGCAAAAAGCTCAGAGGGAGCTCTCCTTGCTTTTATAAAGCTTCAGTTTCAATATTCCAGTTAAACCTTTTCAGCAATATACATCGAGCTATTCCCCATTTCAGTGTGAATTAAACCAGTTATATATAACACAGCATGTGCATTGTATGAAACAAATACATAAAATAATTGTAGGTTGCTTATACAATTCTTTTTAAAAGGCAACCCATGAATAGAAAATGAAATGTTGGCAGTGGCTATCCCAGGAAAACCAGATATACTTAGGACAATGTGAAGGTCCACTTATTTTTTCTTCAGTAACTTGGAGATGAAAAATCCTTCTCAAGATGTGTCTGCACATGTGGAGCATACCTTCCTCTCAAAGAATCCTGGATGCTGTAGTTTGTTAAGGGATGCTAGGAAATGTAACTCTGCAAGGGGTAAATGACAGTGCCCAGAATTCTTTGCAGTGCGAATGTGCTTCAAAGGTGTAGAGCGTATGCTGCCTCAGACATAGGAAGATTTGTGAACCGATTTCGATTATTGATATCAGGAAAAGTGTGGCAACAGAACTGATACAACTTCAACAGCAAAGAAAATACGCTGTTGATTGAAAACTGCATTTGATTTTCATTTCAGTATGCTTGTGGCTTTGCAAAAGGCTGCATTTAGAGATAGCCTGAGACTCCAGGTTCCACTTGCATGGTTGCCAAGTTTTTATTTAGCCAACAGAGTACATTTGTGAATCATTATTTTCAATCAGTTATGGTTTTGAAAGGGATATACAAAGGAAAGAGAAGTCCAAATGCTGAAGTTGGCAAAAATAATAATCTAGATTTAATTATGGACATAAAATTCCAGCAGCATCAACATCACTAAACCTTTTAGCGAATGACTGAATTTGATTTGGCGTACAAATTACAGGAACAAAATGGGCAAATCTATGATACTTGTGCTTCTTCAGGTGATAAGAATCATGAAAAATAAGGGCATTTTTTCATTAAAGTTTTGAATGAAAGCACCAGAAGTGTTTTGAAATATTCGCAGGCAAGTTAATTTACTGGTTTGTCTCCATTTCAGAACACAGAATTTAATGAAATTATTATCGCCCCCTGCTGGATACATTGCTGAAGAAGATCCATGTTAATTTGAGATTTAATAATCTCAAAGTTTTGTTGCTCTTTTCAGATAAATTCTGATTTCTTACAGTGCAAACACTTGTAGGCAGAAGCCTATTTCATGTTGATGATTGTGATGGGTTAGCAAGAAATGGTTTGGGTATGAGCTTGCACAGGCAAATGAACACTTTTTCTCTCTGTGTGCGCAGAGATTTTGTTGATAGTAGTAATGTATGGCCCACAAATAAACTCCTGCTGCAGTTTGCTTGGGAGATATTGAATATTGCACAGAGAAAAGAACCAGCTGGCCCTATCATGCATGAGTTGGCCCTTTATGTCTAGACTGAGAAATTTTGAGGAAGCAGTTGAAAAAGCACCAGAAACATACAGGTGCATTTTGGCAACACAGTGGTACCTCGGGTTACCTACGCTTCAGGCTACAGACTCCTCTAACCCAGAAATAATACCTTGGGTTAAGAACTTTGCTTCAGGATGAGAACAGAAATTGTGCTCCGGCGGCACGGCAGCAGCAGGAGGCCCCATTAGTTAAAGTGGTGCTTCAGGTTAAGAACAGTTTCAGGTTAAGAACGGGCCTCCAGAATGAATTAAGTACTTAACCCGAGGTACCAATGTACAGCTCTCAGCTGAGCTTGTAACTGGAAGTTCTAGACATACCTTCCTCAACCTGGTGCCATCCAAATTCCAGAGGTCAGAGATGATGGGAGTTGTGGTCCAGCAATTTCCAGAAGGCATCAGATTGAGGAAGGCTGTTCTGTACCGTGATCATCTGCTCTGTGAGTAGAGAAACTGGTAGCTATTTCCTGAGAAAGGAATTAATGAGCCCCGTAATGCTTTTGGGGAGCAATAATATTACTCCAGCAGGGCTTTATAAATGAGAAGGACACTGCTGCGTTCTTAGCCCTGCTGTTCACAGCGGACAGGGTAGAAGCTGGAGGGGTAGACAGATGTTTGCATCAAGCTGGAGCCGGCACAGCAATTCAGGCCTGGCAGGATCTGATACAGTCATGCAATGGCATCAGGGATGGTCCCAATGGCTCCAACAAATCCATTCCAGGGCTTTCTGCTGGTTGCTGCCAGGAGGCCAGCAGCACCTCTGCTCACCTGTTCAACAGGTGAAAATAGGGATCTCTGTACCAGCAGGCAGATGATGGTGAAGGCCCACACGGCTGGCAGAAAGACACCTCTGCCCAATCCAACCAGCATCTGCCCAGAACAAAGAACGTTTGGATTGCTCTGCCAGTATCTTGTGCTGGACAGTTCAGAACTTACTCTCTGATTATAGTCAACCCATAACTTACTATCTGATGTTTTGTATGAAAATAAAAATTTATGAATAATATTCCAGTATTTAAGAAGAAAACAAAACACTTTGCTCTTCAGCAAAATGTCAAATTCCCCTAAAAGCCCAGCCTTCTGTCTCATAAAAATAGGGAATGACATCTAGTTCGCAGTTGTGACTGTTTCTAATATGCTTTCTGTATGGAGCCTTTGCACAAAGCTTTGATTGTATTTGCCATATGGCACTATGCCTTTTTTTAAATAATTGCTTCTCAATACATCATTTTTTTCTATGTTACTATAGGGGACTCAGCAGTTCAGTGCTTTCTGAACTATAACATTCTCAAGTCATCTGAAACATCATTTGTCAATTGTTAATGTTACTTTTAACACTACCTTCACAGCACAATCTTTTCAGATGTTGCCACCTGGAGAAAGTTGCCTCTAACCATGTTTCCATGATTGCTTTGCATTCTGCAACTTGTTTGTTTCTAAATTCAGACAATGATCTCAAGCCTTCTTACCCTGCAAGGCACAGTGAAAGTCTTCACTTGGTTACTAAAAGATCTAACTCAATTTTATT